TGATTTTCTCACGCCGAACCTATGCAAAACTTATTATTAAAATAAAATAAAAGACAAATATAGTCATACTCATTAGTATTGAATATTTGTTCTGAATGAATCGACTCTATTGTTAAAATATTTGTCTTTATATTTTCTTCGAGTATTGAACGAGCACAAATATGAGTAGCTGCATTTTCCAATACATTCCATTGGTCATTCTGCTTGGTTTCATTTATCGGAATCATTTCTAAACCAATTTTATGTATTGATTAAACTAAAGCAAACAAATTTAGCTATGAATCTTACTAAAAATTCGGATTATTCCTTTTGATGTTGATCCATGATCGTCAGCATTACCTTGACTACGACATATTGTTGGGAAAAACTTCCATCGAAGACTAATAAATCCTAGTACAATATATGTCAATATGTTCAATGGCGGATAAAAAAATGATGGAAGCTCAAAATATTTCCGGATAAATGCGTAACGTTGATAACGCCAATAAAATTCGGTATTTTCTTTCACTTTATCGATCGTATGGCTAAATACGACAATAAATGTATATTTTAATAAACTCTTGTCTATAATAAAAAAAAAAAAAGAAGCCACTTCACTTGAAGAAACGATCCATCTGATACAATAGAAGATTCCCTAGTTTACTTTTTTCTTGCAAAACGAGGACTTTCATTAGTATATTTATTTCTAAAAGTGTTTGGTTTCCACCATGTTGAATTGAAAAATCCTCAAAAAGCTATTTATACAATTTCTGTGGGATAATAATGTTAAAGATTGTGCAGCTATTGTTACTAATTGAATGAAAATTGTTTCATTCGATCTACTTTCGGCTACATTTCTTCATCGTCGTTTACATAATCCTTAAGAACTGCAATAAAGTGATAGTTCAGATTTGTTGTTGCCATGTTAGTAATATTCGGTTGTTGGCAATCGTCTGTCACATTCTGCAGAGAAATTTAATTTCTACTCTATATACTTCGACACTTCTTGTAGATGATGTTTCAAAAAACAATAAGGCCAACAATATTACTAAGACTTCACAATCGTTAAAATTTCAACTCGAGCCCTCAAAATCGTTTTGAGTTTTTGAAAATTCTGTTTAACTTAAAATGATTTCAACATAAATGAAATGCAGAAGACGACTCCAAGGGCAAATTTGAGTGCTGAGACACAATTGGATATCCTAGGTATTCATTCTCACTTTTCTCCACTATATTTTGGAAGTTCTTGCTTTTATTTAATTTATTTCCTTCTATTATCAACTCAGAAGAATTGTTGGCAATTTGATACAGTCTTTTGTTTTCAATTTACTCACCATCAAAAGGATAGGTGAGACAAAGAAGAAGTCTCTTTCATTCTATACCTCTGATAGATTTTCGACGAAACAGATGACTTTGTTTCCAAGAGAAAAACAAATTTGTGAAAATGCTAGAACCAGAGCTTCGCGGGGTGCGTGAAGCAGTGGAACGGGATATGATCGTCTGCGAGACAAGACAAGATAAATTCATTTTGCATCCCACCAAGTATATACGAGACAAGATTGTGTGCATTCTGAAAAAAAATAAAGAAGATTTACGGAATCTTTTAGGCTTCTAGAAGTTTATGTGTTTTGTCTAGCAGTCGAACCCCTTAAAAAATGTTCTTCAAATCTCCTTTATTCTTTTCAGAGCATGCACATTCACAACCCGAAAACTGTCATCAATGCACTTTTTCCCAGATCAGTTACTCGACGAGCAGTAGTTAAAGTTGTACTTCTCATTAAGCATTTCTTTGTTTATGGTATGATAAAAATATTGTCATGTAAATATTATTTTGAACTAGATGAATAGTAAAATAAACGATTTACATTGAAAAAGAAAGTATAAATTTATTGGAATTTGTTCAACTGTACTTCGAGAAAGAAGATTTATGTTCACGTGGCAGAATGCGGCGGGACCGGATGGAATGGGACGACATTTTTGTCGTCTCGTGGAACTCTGGCTACAACTTTCAGACAAGAGTGTCAATAAATCCATACCAATAAAGTCAGACGAAAGCGAAACAGACGATGAATGAGCACTAGCCAATTCTAAAAATCAACCCAGATTTCAAGAGCAAAAGTAAAAGTTTCAACAATAACTAATATTCAATCACAACGTATCACACATCAAAGCACAGAACTAAAGGAGTTTATTCATCCTTTTCTTTTGCAAATGCTGAAACTAAACTTAAACAGCTATGCTACCAAAAGAATCATCAAAGACAACGTAAAACACAAGCACAATACCTAGCAGATGCTTTACAGAGTAACATTATCAATTAAAGAAACAAGAAATCAAATTTTTCACCATTCAAAATATAATTCGAACAACAACAAAAACCACCAGAAATACAATTGTAAAATGAACTTGTAAAAACACAATAAGCAGCCTTCTATTCCAAATATCTTCCATGAAAAAATGTACTTCTATTCCATGCAAATGATTCATAAACTTATGAAGTGCTCTTCGAGAATAGTTCATGTCAAACTTTTATTTGTAATGTATCTTTTCAAGTTTTTCTCCTTCATTGAATCCCGACTGCATATTCTGTTGCTGTAAGTCACATTTCGCGTGAATAGAACGTCGATACAATTTAACATCTTATTGCAGAATATAATACATCAAAAGATCATGTCACCCGCATTTTCCGTGATGATCAACGTATTTCACGAATATGAATTGATTTTCAGTATCACGATGATGTTCACTCAATTATTCAGAACGATTATATTTACATTGATAGTATCTGGTATCCAGCGACGTCTTATAAATCACTTACCGAAATTGACTGTTGCTTTGAATTTAAGCAATTCGAACATAGGTTACATAATCGTCAATATGTATGATAGACTAACTGAAAAGAAGGCGATCCAACTAACCGATCAATAAAATAAAAACTCTCTTTGCTACGAGACATTTCAACTATTCAATGAACATCATGAGCCATTGCACCTGTCACTTCGAATACATTTCTCTCTTCATTATTTCTAATTTGCACTCAGACTTAATCCAATTTATGTACACTAGGTAAACCTCTATGCAATAAATCACAGTCAAACTCATTACTGCAATTCCCACTTGGATCCAATCTTAGTAAACTATTGTTTTTCTCAATAAACCTTTTTTTTCATTTTGAGTCCACATGCATCGGAGTGTTATTTCTCGACAAATATTCGGATCTTTGAAAAATTAAATAACGAAAACTTATTTCCGTTCTCTTATCTATATACTGACTATCAGTTTCAGGAAGCTCAATCAATACTCTACTAATGAGAAACATCACTCATATGATCAACTCTTATTAAAAGCTGGCCAACTTATCATACGCGTAACCCATCTTGTCAGTCCTCCCTCTCCTTATTAATTTATAACAGCACTAGTTTATCTATTTATTTTGAAGATTTCATTCAATGTATCTGTTTATACTATTACACTATATGGGAACTAACTGATCTTTATTCGACCACAATGTAACTCAATGATTAACTACATAGCTTTTTAAAAGCTCACAAATACCTCTCTCAACGCAATAATATGAAGAAGTTGCCTGCTGTAGACACTAGCAACAACAAACAATAAACTATCGCCGTTCCATATATCCTTCACCTTCTGAACATTTATCTAGTTACACTGTAAATTATTTGCATACACATAATCATTATTTTATTTTAGTCGATCATTTGAATGCTCAGCATCCTCAGTAGTATGATGCAATTACAAATAGGAACGGCTATCAACCGAACTAATTGATTAATTACAACCAAAACCTGAAAATATACAATGGTTCATAGCTAATATAATCTTTATCTCAAGCTGCTATTGATATTATCATAGTTTCGTAACATGTATCATCTGAAACTACTGAAATCGATCAAACCATACAAGTTACAGATGGAATTTGACACGTTACATATTAAATTGAAAACAGACATTTTTGTTCCATTCAGCACAGTATTTTAAAAGATGATTCAATTAAGTTTATTCTTCTTGATGAACAGTTTCTAATTGGTTATCGTACGAAAGTAATATACTAATTATTAAATGATTAAACAATATTCACCAAGCCCATCACAATATCTTTTTAATATAGGGTGTGGATGTGGGTGTTCATGTGATGGAGAATCAAATAAAAAACATGTACCCATACCGATATCAATGATGTTGTTCTTATAACTACATCTTCACTATAGCGGTCTCGCGATAAGTTTAAGAAAAATATGCAGTATTTATGTCAACGAACTTTGAACTTCTATGTCGATGAGCACATATCATTCAACCAAAATTATACTAAAATGTTTGCTAAACTTCCGATCAATTCCACTATCCTCAATCGTCTCATTCAATCTCCTATACCTTCATTAAAAACATGTCAACTAGTCTTTAATGAGTTCATTTTTATCATTTTTTCAACTATTGCGTGCCGTTTGGCCATTATGGTCACTTGGCAGTATCCAAAGAATTGAAGCAAAACATCGCCAACTATATAGAAGTATACATAATTGAAGTGATATGCTCGAAATGGAAAAGTGCAATTGCTACTCAGCTTTCAAACCACTGCACACGTGCACAACGTTTCCGACATAGCTTCTCTAATAAAGCAACAATTGTATCCTTGGAATTTTGCAATCTTATATTCTCTCCCAGTCGATTCGAATGAAAAATGCAGTTTTTCATTGAGAATACTCATTTTATTGATGTCCGCTTCATGGAAGTTCGAACATCTATATTCCAAAATGAACTAACTGGAATAACTATGAACAAGAGCCCAAATGTTACTTAGATCACTTTCTCGACTTTCTCTCACTAATAACTATTTCATAGTACTAATTTCGAGGACCTAGCCTGTTGCAATTGACTGAAAACCGAGACTGAGGATATAGTTTTTCTATAAGCCTACACATATTAAAAGTTCAATGCCACATTCGTAAAAGAAATATCTTCGATCGTCTATTACAATTAAAAATGTAATAATGATTCAATACTTACGTAAAAACAGCAACTAGTAAATTAAGTATAAGAATATTAATAAACAACATATGAAATGCTAATAAAACGTGCACAGCTTTTGCTTCTGCAACTGATTCTGTGCCATTCTTGATTTTCACTAAATAAATTAGAATGAATACAACAGTTTTATTTAGAAAAAAAAATGAAAACAAATATTACGATCAAGTAAATCTTTATCAGAGACTTCTCCATATATAAACCAATATGGTGCATAAAATATTTCCTTGATTATATCAGTAATATTAAATGGAACTTGTTTGTAAAAAATCAATGCACGAGATACAACACCATACGCAGCTATTGCTATGAAAATCATATAGACAAAACCAGTTAAATCTCGAAGCTAAAATTTCATCAATTTAAAAAATAAAACACATCATATTCAAAAATAAGAATTCAAACCATATTTTTAAGCATAAATAATTTTGGACCGACTGATTTTATAGCCGTAACAAATTTAAGTGAGCCAATATACCATAATTCAAGATCAAATGCCCAAATAATTCTATTAAAAAAAAAACAATTCATAAAATACTATGTGAAATATTTAATGAACCTAGCCGTAGTCAGTATGTTTTCATCGTAAGCCCTATACCGAAATCCAAGACCCAGATAAAATAGAAGATAAGGTGTGACATAAAATATAAATGTTAACACTGTTAGAATAGCTGAACCTGTTGAACCCCATTGTTCTATCATTCGTGTTTCATATTCATGACATAACTTTAACAAAGAATAGAATTATTCTCTTTTCTAATAAAATAAATCAACATTACTTTTCGAACATCTTCACAAGCCATACTTGATACTGTGATAATGACATAAATCTCAGTCCAATGTGGAATTGTAAATATCGCTGGACTATCAAAATGATAAAGCATCATGTAACTAAATACAAGTAAAAACCATATGTAACTCATCTAAATAATAGAAAAAAAGATATATATTTCTATTAGTTAAACGCAGATTTCCTTACATAATGACACCACATTTTTATCATTGGACTTTGATGAAAATAACGGACATATGACCAATATTTACATATTACATTTTGAGATGACTTCCAATCGATATAGTAATTTATGCCATTCGAAGATAGTCTATGCGAGAATGATAATTTATTAGAAAAAAATAATTTTCTAAAAGAAGGGATATTTGCTCACCGTTCATTTGTTTTTCCCTGAAATTTAGGTAAAATAAAAAGCATTAAAAGTTCAAAAACAAATACTTTTTTACATACACTGTCGTCTTCTTGATAAGGAACAAGGAATGGTGCCAATAGACCAAAAGACAATATGGCAAAAAAATTTAATACTATTGCATATGTTTTTTTATTAGTAATAGATAATTTATTGTACCATACTTTACTCAATGTTTCATCAAAAACAGATGTTTCAACTATTTTTTCACTTTGATTTGAGATTGCAACCTAAAATCATTATTCAATAGATTCATGCTACATGCTCAGATATTTCTATTCAAGATCAGTAACCTGCATGCATGTAATATTGCCAAAGAGTAGTATTTGTCGTAATAGTAATTCACAAGCTAGGTTCTGATTATATTCATAACATTTATTAGTGAATACGGCTGCATATGTTTCGAATTCAAGTGCTTGATTTTGAAATTTTCCCTTATAATTAAGATTTATTGATCCTGTCGCATATCTTTTAAATATAGCTGAAGCTATTAAAGCTGCACAAATACGAGGTTGTAAATGAAGAAGAAATATTTTGCCCATTTCAGGCATATTCATGAAAATAGACCATAGAAACAGATCACGAAACAATTCATCATTTGTATATAAAGACGCATTGCAATTTTGATTAAAAAGTGAATGCTTGTAGTTTTCTGATGGACGAGTACGAACATTTATACATTGACAGCAGACACATACATGATTTTTCATATCTATACCTACACGCTTTGCATCATCATTTCCATAAGATGAATAAATTGGTTCAATAAATGCACCAACAAATTTATTTAATTTTTCATAAAGTTCTTCTATTGTTGTTAAAGATGATATACCAAATAATGTTTCTATATATTCGTTGCGATTCTTCATTAAAGAAAAATTATTTTATCAAGAAAAAAAGAAGAGTGCAATTCTAAATACGCTATTTACTTTAGCATGAGTATCCTTATACAAATTTAAGAGATTTCCTTGACGCTGACTCCTATTGTGTGTATCCATCAGGGTACATAGATCCAAACCAATACCAAGAAAATATTCAACATATGCTGAACGATTATTTATAAGAGATTTTTTAAATAACTCTTTGTAAATAATGATGTTCTCCTAGAATAAATCGACAATAAAAACGACCATTGTTTAAGATTGATGATCTGACCTTGCTAATTTCATACTGCGTTTTCTTCGAAGCACTTTGTCTTGATTGTAACATTTGTAAAGCCCCATCAATATAATTCCAAGCAAGTGCTAAATCTATTAACTTATTTTGCATGTCTCGATTTTGTTTCTTATATTGTTCCTTGTCTTCTTTATGATTAGTATCAAATATATGATATCGTTTATTTTTCACTTTGAAACAAATAAAAATTACTTGAAATTTTCGATTTTATCAAACATACATACCAGTAAGAATAGCTTTAAAAATTGTTTCTGTTATACTTTTATCATGATTCACAGAAAAGATATTTAGTAGATGACGATTCTTTTTGTTTAAAATATCTTGTATTTGTCTCATTATGTCCAATATATTGGATTGATAAAGACTCGGAAAGTTTGAATTAATTGCTTGTTTAATATCTTCATCTGTTACAATACTAAACGCCTGCTGGGTGAATTTTTAATTCACACAGGGGCTCACTGGTACATAGTAGTAGTGAGAAGGCGACCCTGGGCTGCCGGTAGCCAACCGTCAGGCACTCGTGCTAGCAACTCGTCTGTCGGACATAAAACCCTATCCTGCTAATGAAAAGAAGAAAAACAAGTGCGCGAACGCACNTGTATTCTTTTTGGCAACTTTAATACAGAATAGCCCATTAAAAGAAAAAAGAGAAAACGAAGTTGTTTCTGACATATATTTGAAAAGAAAGTGGCATGTCATACTATCTTTAAGTAACAGAATAAAACAGATTTTCTCAAGACATTGAAGCATAAACTAATCAAAACGTCAGCAATCACAGCAGGGTACACATCCAATAAGGATTTTCTGTTCTACGAATCGTTGAAAATCTTATGTAGAATATTATATTGTAGATGCAAAAGAAATGCCAATTTTTTTTCTTAATTACGTGACAAGATAACGTCCAATGAAATTAGACGCTTTATTTATTTATTTTTTTTTCATAGTATTTTAATCTTTCAACCAACGTTAAACACGATATTTTCTTATTTTATAACAGCGTATAGTCGTAGGCTTGACTTACATTTGATTTCGGTTCATTGAAAAGAAAGATCTGTTAGTTTGTTTTTTTCTAACATAAGCGAGTAACATGTCGAGTGAACTAATCATGATTATAGCTAAATATCTCTACGTTTATCTCGGATTTTTCTTGGCTTTCGTTGGATCAATTGGTAATTTATTGACATTCTCAGTGTTTGTGCGCCGAAAAAAATATCGTTCTCTTTCAAGTTCAACATTTCTGGCTGGATCAACATTTGGAGAACAATTAGTTCTCCTTTCATCTGCTTTTCCAGATTCATTAACTTATGCATTGGACTACGATTTCTACGGCATATCTATAGAAATGTGTAAATCAACATCATTTTTGTATTTTGCTGGTGGCGTAGTGGCTCTTACTTGTATGTATTTGGCAGCGATCGAACGCTATTTGCAAACATGTCGATCATCATCTCAACGAGAATGGATGACATTAAATAGAGCTCGATTGCTCGTTTTTCTGACAACTCTAGTATCTTCTGCTATCAGTATTCCTTTTGCTCTCTACCGAAATGTTACATCGAACAATCAATCATGTGAGTATGTCAATGCTAACTTTAAACGCATGGCTCCTCTTATGTACGCAATTGTCGGTGTTCCCATGCCGATTACACTTTTGAGTGTTTTTGGTTTTCTTACATGGCGCAATTTGAAAACACCTACTCAACGTCAACGTACAGGTTTAGCTACACATAAACTTAATAACCAAGTAGTTCGAATGATTTTGATTCAAACAAGTATAGTTGTTTTGTCGATATTGCCAGCATCACTGTTGCAAGCCTATTTTTTGATAACAGACAAGAATAGTCAGGGGACAACAGCTTTGGATCATTTCATTCTCTGTATTACACAGCTATTGCTTTATGTACATTCATGCGCTTCTCTTTATGTCTATGTAGTTGTATCACGAACTTTTCGACACCAAGTACAAGTCATGTTATGCTTGAAACGACGTCGTTCGACACGAGTACTTCCTTTTACAGAAAAAACGAGACCAACTAGAAACCAAACAATCGTATGGTGATCAATTGCTATGATCTACTATCGAACATGTCAACGTACTTCGTTCTGACTACTTGTTATCATTGGATATATTTCATTCATTGAGTCCTGTTCGATTAAGAATACTTTTCATTTTGTAACTTAATAAATGAAGTTTTTTTTTTATCAATTTTGAGCACTGTATGTCTTATGTTTGTTTGTCTTCATTTATATTCTCGTCTGCTCATCTTGATAAATATTAATGATGATTTCGTTCATTACAAACAACATAGAGTGTTCAAAGTTGTTTTTTTTTGTTTGATTAAACAGCCGTTGCATGTTTTATTTGACACGATTCGAAACTTTTATTAACGCTNACAATTTTTTCGATAACTCAGCCATTTCTTGACGGATCCTGCTCATCTTCGAACTCGACCGAGACATTGTTAAGACTGAACTGTGTAGAAAATTTCATCACGATTGGACTCTCCTTTCGAAAGTTATCGTGTTAACGGCCGGACGGACGGCCGGACGGCCGGACGGACGGCCGGACGGCCGGACACACTGACCGATTTTAGTAGTGTACTCACTTTTTGAGTACACAAAAAAACTATGTAATCAGGAGAAACTAACGATAGCTTTCTTCTATCTTTGGAGTGAAAAACATACCTAAAAACAAAATTGAATTCCATATACATGTTGCGAAATATGAAGGGATGTGACAAAGTACAAAGAATTATGTAGAAGTACGAAGAAGTGTCAAAACGTATAGAAGCACAGAAGTATCAAGGAGTACTGAGAAGCATCGAGAAGTACGAAGAAGTATATCGAAGTGTGGAGGAGTATCGAGAACAAATACTATTGATGCATTTTATGTATTTTTCAATAAATTAAAGTCACATTTTTATCGAAAAATCGATTATAGTCCATGATTATCCATTCGGGTTTTAAAATCAATTACATATTTAGGTTCTTCTTGAAAAACTGCACCAGAATCCTTAGGAATCTAAAAACATTTTCACTTATTTTTATACTACTCATTGATTTGTGATGTAGAGGAACGATGTACAAAAAGGCCGATCAAAAAATTGGAATGAACGAGAATGATGACTATGCTAGTTCGGGTGTGAGTGTGGGTGTCGATCAATTTTGATTTTCCAGGAGATAACACGGTTATTAATGATCGCTACAATGATGACAGTAAAAATGCTGTGAAAAAACAACGCGTCAAATTTAGAGTACGCGCTTAAAAGCTAAGAGAAGAATACTTTCGAGCGTTTACACACATTTTCGCAAAGTTTTGTCTGCTTGGGTACTGCGTGCGTGTGAACATAAATACTAATAACTCTAATCGAATTCGAAAAATTGAGCAATATTTTTGAGTCACCATAGTGTATATATACAGTGAGTACCAAAATTATTCAACCAGGTTTATTTTCAATTTTTTTCCGCTCTCTTGAATGCTAGAAACAATCCAAATAATGATTCTGGTAGAGAAAATTGTTTCCAACTCGATTATAAGAAAATAAGAATCCTAGTTAGATTTGTAAAGACGGGGTCTCCAGAAAACCAAAACCCTAGTTTTTCAGCACTTAGAACGCGCAAATATAATTTAATTTAGACTATGTATAATGATAGAGAAAACAATTCTCTACAAAATGAGACGTCTCCGACTTCCCTACGACGTTTTTTGGCTGAGATATAGCAATTCCGCTGAAGCCTCTAAACGCGTTTTTTCACGATTTTCTATGGAAAAACTATTTTTGGGTCTATAATCATGTTGTCATATCTCAGCCAAAAAACATCGTAGAGAAGTCGGAGACGTCTCATTTTGTAGAGAATTGTTTTCTCTATCATTATACATAGTCTAAATTAAATTATATTTGCGCGTTCTAGGTGCTGAAAAACTAGGGTTTTGGTTTTCTGGAGATCTCGTCTTTACGAATCTGACTAGGATTCTTATTTCCTTATAATCGGGTTGGAAACAATTTTCTCTACTAGAATCATTATTTGGATTGTTTCTAGCATTCAAGAGAGCGGAAAAAAATTGAAAATAAACCTGGTTGAATAATTTTGGTACTCACTGTATATAAGAGCGATTTCGTTTTAATGAGAAATAAATCGATAAATGCCGAAGAAGGAAAAACCTAAATCCCTGCGTGGAATAGCATGCAGACTACAAAATGACAGAAACTACGTAGTATGCCGACACAGGATCACTTTTGTTATAATTTTCGTAACTATGACCTTTTTGCGTTGACCTGTAGAGTTGAGCAAAATTCTAGGCATCTTGCAGGTACACGACAATAACACGTTGGCATTTACATACGAGTCATATATCTTGCATAAATACGCAAGAAAGTTGCATGTACCTATTTCCACGGATAAATATCATTCACGGTCTCGCATGATTTGGTTAAAATTTTTTAAACTTTCGCGTTTTATTGAGTGGTAAAATAATATGTTCAAATAAGTAGTCGTACTTTGATGTACTAACATACTTATATTCAATTTTTTTTAAAGAGAAAACGATAAACGAGTTATATCTTTGGCTAGAGTTTGTCACGGTGAGAAATGTGCCCACCGGTTCCTATCGTGATCAACAAGATCGGAATTCAAGTTTATAGTATAATATTCTACGTTTTAAAGTAAATTATAAATCATATGAATCGAAGCACAATTCAAGAGACATGATCCAGAAAAGTGCTAGACGTTCACTAAATAAATTTTAAAAAAAAACAAGTATCGAAGAATTATTTTAGATGTGATACAGATAATTTATGGAATAGTTTTCTCTAGTTAAAGTCTGTAGGAGTAGGTGCAAATTGTTACCCGGCACAATTTAGCCTTCTTTTCAGATCGTGTTTAACAAAAAATGAAATAAATGTTTTTTTATTCATGCAATATATATATATATATATTTATATATGTATACATAGAGAATATTTGTTTAATAATTCCTTAAGATATCGTCCATTGTCCTGTTTTAATAACTTTGATTAACCATGGAAAACATTTCGAATCGATTAAAATATAAATTCCAAGAGCAATAAATACAAATGGACTGATAAACTGTGCATATTTTTGTGCAAATTTAAATATTGGAGGAAAATGTATAAAACAATAACACATAAGACATAGAACGCCGACCATGAGTAAAAAGCCTATTGCATAGGCAATGATTTCCCATGAATTTGATTGAACAAATATGGGTACATAAATAGCAATATTATCATTTCCATTTGCAATTGTTACAAGACTTACTTTAACTATTTGTTTAATATTACTTGTACAAGTTTGTTTTTCGTTCGATTTAATACTTTCCTACAATAAATATATCAAATATTGATTAAACAGAAAAACAAAATAATAATTTCTTACTGATTCAAGTTGAATAAATACGACTTGTTCATTTTCTGGATTTTGTTGTAATTTGTTTCTTTTCTCTTTTCTTTTTTTCAATAGATCTTTGATTAATGTATTTAAACCATTTAAACCAAAAAAATATAATTAAAAATCCAAGAAAACCAAATAATTTAACTGGTAATATATATGAAATAGTATAACCAATTAAACTTAATGTTAATAAAGTACTAAAACCTAAATATTGACCAAGTACAACATGTCGATTTTTCAATAAACTATCAGTTTTAGATGATTCAAGAAAAAAATTCATCAATATAACAACATCTTGAATATTTGTCAGAATAAATGTTATTATTACTTTTGAAACAAATTTTAATTCTTCTACGATCATTCTTTACTTATACAAAAGTAAACAATGATGTACAGACAATATATTTTCAATTGGTACTTTCTTCTGAATTTTTTTGGTATACGCTTTTTGTTCAAGTAAAAAATAATGACTTTATATAGTGTCACCACGAAAATAGTTTATTAATGATGTTGGGTAGAAATATTGATAGGTGATTGAATGATAATGATCAATATTAGAAAAATTGTAATGGTGACAACAATATATATTTATATTACATTGATTAATGATGATGATTACTAACAATTACTCACTAAACGAGTTTGGTTTCTTCAAAATTGATCAATTTGAAACTACTACAAAAAAAATAAATATAAGTTTGTATTTTATTAATACTACATATTCAATTATTCTTCTTCGCATCCAGTATAAAAAAATACACGTTCAAGAAAAACTAGCTTGTTCAAATATACTCCTTCTTTCCTTATTAAAGTACAGTTCATTAAATATTTGACAAATAGAAATGAATGAAAAACATATTTCATAAACAACAAACAAAAATTTAACCTATTTCAAAGTTATTGTTTCTTTTTAAATACATTGTATTTCAATGAATAGTAAAAAGCAAAAAAATGAAGCTCGATACCAACGGCACTCGTAAATCTTATATAACTACTCGAGAAAATAATTATCTGTTCATGAAACATAATATTGAATTCGTTTTTTAAGACCGTATTCATATTCAACAGATTAATTTAGTTAATTTCCTATTTAAAACAAACTAACCTTGAAAATCTCACCGAAAATTGTATGAAAAAAAAACACGAAAATCTTCATAGTAAGTATCTAAGCTCACAGAAATGTTGAAGCATCTCCCTCTCGCATTTACCTGAACGTGTTTTATGGATGACTCAATAGAGGTTAAACAAATATTCAGACAGATCCGAAAGCTTTACCGATCTACATAATTCAATAGTGATTTTTATTGAAGTTTTCATTTGCATCATAAATACAATCACTCCAAAAAGCACTCGAACATCTACAAGATAAGTTTCCTATCAACGTTGTCGAATTATGGATATTGTTCTTCAAGTAGTTTAATAAGTTATTACTGTTTTCATTCTATGTTTGTGCACATGAAATCATTTTGATATCAGAAAAACGAGCAATTACATTTGAATAGCAGAAGAAACCCGTTTTGGATGTATTGAAAAAGTCAGACATTTTCATGAGAACAATTCCTATAATTCGACATAATGAACAAATTTGATCATATTGATAGGAAACCTAGTTAAGAAATAGGACTATCTACTCGTAAATAAAACAAAAACTTTAACTTTTGTTGCTGCTCGGTAAATAAAAAAAAATGAAAAGTCTTGTTGGTGTCTGGATTAGACATTGGTGATCCGAAGAACTTGATGTGGCAGAAATTGTTTCATCTTTCTTGATATTTCTATGCATTTTTACAGACACAAAGAATTATTTTACTATAAATAAGAGAACAATTTATAAAATCAACGACTATAATAAATATTCGATAAAATATCATAGAAATTAATCTTATTTTTAGATAGCTTATCAAAAACAAAAAAAATATGTCGATTTAAGAATTATATGAAAATCTTAAATAATTGCGAAAATATGGATAATAAATTCAATTGAATTCAAGATTGAAATAGGTTGTTCATTTCAGCGAATTATTCATAAAAATATCATTTAATTAAAGTCATAAACTTTCACTTATTTGAATAACAATCAATTGTAATAATCATTATGAAAACTACCATTGAAAACCATGTTGACATTTCTCTATGTGTTGTCAATGTTTTCTTTGTAGATTCAACAATGTTACACAATCATTTTCATTCTTTTATGATCAAAATTTATTTTTCTCTATGACAATATCTTATTTTGACAAAAAAAAAATTTATTTTGCTTCTTCAGAAATTGAACTTTATCAGAGATGAAACAAAATTGATCAGTTTCTACTGAGGACGATTGAGATATTCGTTCAAAACTATACATATTGTACACAAATCAGAAAACAAAAATAAATAAAAAGTCAACCATTTGAAAAATTTTTTGTTCTAATGGCTTCTGCTAACCATGGAAAACAATCTGACTTAATAATAATATAAATTCCAATTCCAATAAATACGATAGGAACAATATAATGAGCGTATCTTTGTGCAAGAGATAAGATTGGTCGAAAATTAATAAACAAATAACAAAATATAAGCCAAATCAATACCATAGAACAATATATAGCAATATAAACACCAATTTGCCATTTTGTTGCTTGAGCAAATAATGGCGTATAAATAGCAATATTATCACCACTATTTGCTAAAGTAATACTTGCAATTTTTAATATTTGAAGATTAAAACAATGACTTAAAAGTTTAAGAATTTTTTGTTTAAAGTTCATAGTTGAAGGAGACTGAATGATATTTGGTTGTTGTCGTCGTGTTGTAAATTCGGAAATAATTTGTTCATTAAGATCATTTCGATAACGAATTGTTTCAAGTTCAATTGTCGAAATATTATCATTTGGTACAATATCATTTATATTAATAGTCGTTTTTTTATATTCTTCAATGATTATTTCAATAACACTTTTTATACCAAGAATAATTGGTAAAAATCCAAGAAATCCAAGCATTTTAACAGGTAGTGCATATGAAACAGCGTAACCAATAAGACTTACTCCTAACAATATAAAAAATCCCAAATATTGACCAATGAAAATATGACGAACTTTAAGTAATGAATTAGATATTGTTGCTTCTGTAAAGAAATTCATTAAGATAACAAGATCATCAATATTCGTAGCTATGTAAGAAATAAATACTGTTCCAATAAATTCTCCAACACTTTTCTCATTATTGCTCATATCGTCCTTTTAAATATGAGTGTGTACAACTTGATTTTGATTATAGTAACCCAAAATTCCAATCGACTGTCAATATAACATTGAAAAATAAAATCAACAGTTTTTCACTTAACGTTTATTGATATTGACCTAAAACTGAACTAAATTCTGTTAGAAAAGAAATCAGGGAACCACCGAGTATGCGAAACACTTCATAAATGTTTTTTGGTGCATTCAATACATCAATGTTTGAATCCCAAACGATCCTCTCTTTTGAAAGTTAGGCGAAACTGACTCTTTACTATTATTATATGATTATGAGAAAAATTAGCAAAAACAAAAAAGACTCTCTAAAAGTTTTAGTTGTTCTCGTCTGTAGAGATTCAGAATTAGAAAGTTCCAAGCTGAGTTTTAAATTTTCTACAACTTTTTATTCTCTACAAAATGGTACGTTCGAGGCATAATCGGGTTCACATCTCTCCTTTGCATGATGATTTTTCAATAGAACAAGAAAAAGTTTCAGTGGTTTCGATTGCCATGACACAATTTTAAAGAAAAATAAATAAGACATTTCAAAAGAGCGTTAAAAACTACATTGAAGCAAATACTTTCATCCATGTTGGCCTTATAAAACTTGAGTCGATAAACAATGTATTAGATTAAAATGGCTTATTTGGCTTATGTAGTTTTTTATTCTTTATCTTTTAGTATAATTTATAAAAAAATATTTGAATGAGCCATTTAGACAAAAATAGTGATAAAAATTCGATATGGACTAACCTTTGGAAGAAAGGGTTTTAGGTTCAGATATCAATGCACTATATTCATAAGAAAAAGTTTGTTGAAATGTTAAAAGAATGAAGAAATAAAAGTTATTATTGAAATATGTTTTTCAATCAGAAATGAAGCATCGTTTATTTATTTCTGTTTTGTAGATATTTACCTGTGTTGAGAATATTTGACGATTGAATCATAGGTGAAAGTAATTAGTTGTTTGTATTGCAATAAAAGTGAAGAGAACAGAAAACTGTCGATTGATTGGTCCAAATAAAACACAAAATAACTTTGATTTATTTATGCTTGAGTAACAAAAAATGTTATTCGCTTTTAATTGTTCAGATAGAAAGACAAGACATGAGTCAAGTACGAAACGAATAAAATTACTTATTGATCGATTTTGTTCTGTCATATTGTTAGGGCATATTCAATAATGTCCATTCTTGATAAGACTATTACAATATGTTATTCATAAGTTAATAAAAGAATTCTTGTTTTTAAAGATATTTATATTCAATGAGTTTATTAACCAATGAAACCATGTTTTATAACATTTTTACTCTTAATTAGGTTTGGTCAAAAGTTCTGATAACGTTACTAGCAACTATGTAAACCATGATTAATATCAAAAGAGTCTATTGCTTGAATAAAGAGTAGAATTCAGATAAAACCCAATTCCAAAAAGAAAATTCAAGAAAAATTTACAATAGTATTGCGATCTAACACTCCGTCATATCGAATAGTTGCAAGATAAACAATGCGCTTGGCAAAGGAAGAGAAGATGTCAATGATAGCCCTCGATTTGAGCTGCTGGTTTCCGTGTGCGTATGAGTGGAGAATTTTTCTTGACCCATACCAACATTCTCACCCACCATAGCTTTTGATATATACTGAAGTCTCATGAAGCTTTCTGAAGTCTGGAAGTCAGCTGTTTCTTCCTCGAGTCGAATACTCGATTTTCAGACTATTTAACAACCGTTATCAACTGTGTAGGACATGATGATTTACGCTTGTAATAATACACCTACTAAACGTCAATTTACAGCTATTTACGACCGAAAAATGTATGAAACGAGAGGATACGGTACTGGTTTTGGCCGTGTCGGCAACTGTAATCATCGTTCTAATTAGTGTCAAACGGTATTCGTACATGTGAACCATATTCAAACCTAATTTCCTTTATACTGTTCCCGTGTATGACACCTGTAGACAGACTACATATTTGTCCATGTATGGTCGTTTAGGACGATGGAGCATTCACTTGAGTAGTTTTATTATGATCATCAGATGGCAGCAATACTTTTCTTTTATGCATAAACATGGAACTAGTCGAGATCTCTCTTTTTTTTTCGAACAAACAAAGATTTCTCAGTGAGCTGTTCTCTAATCAAAAATTGTTCTAGAGAATGAATTATGGAAGTGTGACAAGATTATCTTCACGCTAAGACAAACCAAACAAAGAATGCTTTTTTCAATCGTCACTCAGTGACTGTTTATTTGAAGCAAGCAAGAGAGAGAGAGAGAGAGAGATCTTATTCTAACGAAGAATTGTACATAAAGGTCTTTCTTTCTCCAAAGTGAACTTTCTATATAAGAGAAAGTCTCTCGTTTGGGTTGTCGTGAAATTGAACTTATATTGGATAGCCATTTGTTTACAAGATATTGCACCAGCTAATGGGATCCAGCGTATTGATCACTAAAGTGTCAGAAGCGTCCCCCTAAAACATAATCAATGAACAAAATCAATTGTCATGAAAACATTATCATTCCCGCTATGAATTTCATCCATAAATTTTTCTTTTTTGAGAATACACTGATTGACTTAAGTGTGAAAGTTAGATTATAAACTTCTTAAAAAGACACATGTAACCACAAAACAGAAAATCTAATCGAGAATCTGACCTGTTTCTGTTTACCATCTCCAATCGACAACTGAATGGACTCACTACAAATCTTGCAAGTGAATCTGTTGGCATTCAGACGGCTTGCATTTCTGCGAATCCGTTCGAAACTGATCCCATTCGTATAATAGTAGCACTCTGAAAATTTAATGCTTTCAAGATATTCAAATTGATCTATAACATCAATCATCAGGCTTTCGTCGACAGCCTGAACTTCCAGATGTTCAACATACGATAATCCAGGATAGAGCTCCTTGTGAATTCCCATTTCGAAGTTGATGATCACTTTTAAAGATCGGATATGCAAAGGTAGAATGAATGATGGATAAAATATTGATTTTCTAAGCTCATGAAGGCGGGGACAATGCTGAAGAAGATTGTGGAGTTCCTGTGCAGATAGAGCATGAAAAGACGAAATATCGAGTGTTCTCATTTGACTAAGATCAATGACTGAGGAGAGCATCTCAATCGATGGACATGTACTGTCCATGAGTTGAACAGATTTTACTTTATTAAAGCGTTCAACAGAAGTCATGTTAATTAAATTGATAACTTTGAATGCTAGATAATCGATTGTGCTACCGTAAAAAATGCGACGATGAATATCAATCGGTGCGGTTGACAATGGTGGATATTTATAAACAAATTCTGAATACTGGACACAACGTGGCCGAAAATGAGGTACTGAATATACGGTTAAGATATTGCTATAGGTGCTCTCTTGTGGACATGCAACAAACGAAGGCTTCTGTTCGAGCCGCACATT